AAGAATAGTTTCTAGATAATTATTATTAAAACATTTTTTTGATGCCCCGTTGACTATTGACAAAAACTGACGGTTTTCTTACCTACCCCCTTTTTATTTGATGTAAAATGACAGGTACCTGTCTCAATAAACAAAAAAAATCTTTTATATACATTTTACATGGATTTATTTCAAGTTCTTCAAAACAATAGTTCTTTATTATCACCCTTCAAGTAAGGAAAATATGATATAAGTGAAACTTTTCTACAGATAATGAAAACATAATTGTTGTTGTATAAAACCGATACAGACGTTGAACTTTATTTGTCAATATTTTTTATACAAGATGGTAAACATTTGTAATGTTTTTGTTTCAATAACTGGAATATAGTAAAATTTAATAATATTAAGTTTTAAACGCCTTTTGAAAAATTATCGATTATACATCTAACAATTTAAGTGTAGAATCGAAATTATTAATTACTTGAATGATTTCTATTTCGAAAGCTGCATTGTTTTAGAAATAAACGGTACGATATCAAAATTATTTTCATAATATTTATGTTCCCGAAATTATTTTTCATTTTAGTTCACATCTAACACCTTACTTTCTTAAAACATTAGCAAAGCCGTGTTTACTTTTTAAAATAAATATCAAAATTAAAAAAAAATCATATCGTCAAAAACTTTGACGAAAATGTTGTGATGGCAGATCTAATCCTGTAAGGAGACATCACTGCGTTTTTATTTTCAAAAGAACTTTGCGGCAGAATTTGTTGAATGTTTTATGTTTTTTCAGCAACCGTTGTTTAATATCCAGACTTTCAACAACTTGGAGTATGAAAAGTTTTAGAATGGTTAGGGAAAAAATGATATGCTATGAATAAAGCCAAAAAATAGCGTTCGGAATCAACGCTTACATTCGATCCAGCGTTCGGAATCAACGCTTACATTCAGTCCAGCGTTCGGAATCAACGCTTACATTCGATTCAGCGTTCGGAATCAACGCTTACATTCAGTTCAGCGTTCGGAATTAACGCTTACATTCGATCCAGCGTTCGGAATAAACGCTTACATTCGATCCAGCGTTCGGAATTAACGCTTACATTCGATCCAGCGTTCGGAATAAACGCTTACATTCAGTCCAGCGTTCGGAATCAACGCTTACATTCGATTCAGCGTTCGGATTCAACGATTACATTCAATCAGCGTTCGGAATTAACGCTTACATTCGACCCAGCGTTCGGAATCAACGCTTACATTCAGTCCAGCGTTAGGAATCAACACTTACATCAGTTCAGTGTTCGGAATTTACGCTTACATTTGATTCAGCGTTCGGAATCAACGCTTACAGTCAATCAGCGTTCGGAATCAATGCTTACATTCGATCCAGCGTTCGGCATCAACACTTACATTCAGTTCAGCGTTCGGAAACAACACTTACATTCTATTAGCGTTCGGAATCAACGCTTACATTCAGTTCAGCGTTCGGAATCAACGTTTACATTCAGTTCAGCGTTCGGAATCAACACTTACATTCAATCAGCGTTCGGAAACAACGCTTACATTCAGTTCAGCGTTCGGAATCAACACTTACATTCAATCAGCGTTCGGAAACAACGCTTACATTCAGTTCAGCGTTCGGAAACAACACTTACATTCAATCAGCGTTCGGAATTAACGCTTACATTCAGTTCAGCGTTCGGAATCAACGCTTAAATTCAGTTCAGCGTTCGGAGTCAACTCTTACATTCAGTTCAGAGTTCGGAATTAACACTTACATTCAGATCAGCGTTCGGAATCAACGCCCTTTTTGTTCAGTGTTCGGAATCAACGCTTATATTCAGTTTAGCGTTCAGAAAGAAACGATGTACAGCTTTCAGTATCAACGCCATCATAAACTGCAGCCTTCGGTCTGAAGACTCAAACAAATAAAATGATTGTTTTAAGTGAATAACAATTCTTTTTTTAAGGATATGTGATGTATAGAATATTATATTCGTGTAGATTCATTACTGAATTTATTGAGAATATAATTTTATTCAACATGAGCAATAAAGTCAGTATTGAAATTACACTCATTCAATATCCTCTATTTATTAAGCTAAAGGAACCGAAGACGAAAGGGACGTCAGGTCCATACAGTCTCAAATATTTTCTTTCATCCGTTGATGCGATTCAACAAATACTGATTAATGGTCACGTAACGAGTCTAAAAAGCGTGCAAAAATATAAATTTTGCAACTTTTTCTTTTCATTCTTTTGCTATTTAAACGTAACCAAACTTACGATTATTATCAAATTCTAATACAAACTAAACTATTGTTTAGTTAATACATTACTGCATTTTGACACCCAATTTGCCACAATTTTGCTCTTGTATATATACATAATTTCCATATATAATAATATATAAAAGTCACAAATATACAGCAATGTACAATAACACACCTACCTTAAAGTTTTATTTCTTTTTTCCCCGCAAGTGTACAGTTTTCTGTTTGGTCATAAACAGCTATATGTTGTTTTCCTTCCATCCAAACCATGTGCATGTAAAATGTTAATACTCGTAAAGAGACTAAAGTCTTTATATCCATATTCTGAATCCAATATAAATGACGTCAATGGAAATATTCTATCTTATTTTGAAAATTAACAAGACAATGAAAATAGACTCATGTATCTTTAGATATGACTTCTTTGGCCAAAAGTTCAAAGTATGATCAACAACTTTTTCTATCTTCCTTTGTTGAAAGATTACAAAGTTGACTAAACAATCAAGGGTAGGTAAGACGAATGCCTCGTTGCTCACATCGTTTAAAAGAAGAGTTCATTTCAAGTTCAAAGTAAAAGCGGATAAACAACATATCTTAATATCGAAATAATGGATTTTTTTAGCAGAAATACACTTCATATGGTGATACAAAATGTACATGCTAAGCTGTCAGAATTTCTGTTTGGTTTAAACATATTTATTCAAGCTCTCGATTGCCAAACAAGTTCTTGCAACCTATATTAATCACTTTCGAGTCCGTTTTATGGAACCAAACAGTACTCGTGTCAAATGAAAAAACATGATGGCGACGCTATTAGGGCTCGAACCCATGACGAGACGTCCAGAAAGAGAGATACGTGTTAGAAATCAGTATAAATGAGCCGCACCATGACAAAACCAACAGAATGCGTTTGCGACCAGCATGGATCCAAACCAGCCATCTCATCAGGATCAATGCTGTGCATTACAAACCCTATAACAAGTAGAGAGACTGATAGCGAACAGCATGGATGCGCAGGCTGGTCCGGATCCATGATGGTCGCAAACGCATTACGTTGGTTTTCTCATGGTGAGCTTTTTAGATAGCCCGATAAAAATCAACATTTTTTTTCCGCTTTGAATGTGTCTGTAGTCATATTCTATGATAGTGCAATGTTTAAATGAATTCTTTTATACAGTTTTCCAACCTGTCTATATATCTTTATAAAACTACAGCATATGCCTTATAGTTTCTAAAAGACACGAAATGAATAGAAAGCTCATTTGTTTAATTTTCAGGAAGATCATATTATATTTTTTCAAATGAACACCAGCTGCCATATTCTTGCTCATGGTACAGATGAATAATTTCATATTCGTTCTACCATGTTAATCAAATTTACAAAAGACGCAAGTCTTCGATCAACAATTTCTTACAGTTTAATAATATTTTATTGTATAGTTTGTGCATGATAAAACACAAGCTAACATCATTATCTTAAGCATAAATATAATGAACATACAAAAGGGTTGGACCAAAAGTTATACCAACATTATCTGGGGTCCTCCCCTAAAGGTCTATCTTGTTGACTTAATGGTAACATAGTTAGTAACTTTGGTTTTTAGAAATTCTGAGATATTCATATGACAAACGATATAAGTTTCGTGTATTTTGACTGGTAAAAAAGAAATCAATTTCAAAGTCGTCACATGACGAAACATCTTCCTGAATAAATACTAGATTATCTTTTTCAAGAATAAATTTCTTTAAGTATGATATTATATGGCTTGTTGTAATAGTACCAATGTTTACAGATTGGTGTATCACTGTACAACAATTTTTATTTCATGATATTACTATTTACCATTGTTACACAAGTATTTGCATTGAAATGGAATGAAACATTTAAAAAGAATTCAAGATTATTGTGGCATTTTTGAAAGCAAGTTTAATGTTAACATTTTAAAAGAAAATTCAATACGGATGTATTTTCTTTGTGCAATGCAATCGAAAAAAATAGTTTTTATTTGTTTGGGTCGTCAGACCAAACAAATAATGGTAGCGAAATTTCAGAGTCTAATGTTGTTAATTGCAAATGCCGAAAGTAGTCCACTTTTTTGAAGCGGTTACTTCCCTTTTGTATGTACACTAAAGCCGAAAAATTCAGGGGAGATCACTGCGTAAAGATGGTCAAAGACAGGCGCATCAATTTTTAAGCAAAGTAATTCCCGAATGGTCGAAGATTTCTAATATTGTTTTATTGTATTTTCTGATCGAAAATAACTAAATACAAAGCGGACATTCAATCTCTGACACAGAAGTTTACGACAAACCTAACAACAAGTAGTTCTCAAAACAGCTTAAAACTAGCGATTTAAAAGAAAGAAATATTTTATTTTGTTACATGTATCCAACAAATTACAACGCATTTAAAGTTAAACAATAGCGTTGGCTTATAGAATTGTCAATAAATGCACAATCACAAATTACGCGGATGAATATGATTTTATCAATGAAAATACTATTTATTACCGAATACTACACAAACCGAGTAGTGGAATATATAGATTCTACATGTCGGACTGTTTGGGCGAGAGGATTTTCGCTAAAATATTTACTTCAATTTTAAACAACAGGTTTACCCTGAACAAAATACCTCGAAATTAATAAGAGGTTAATACACGGCAGGAGAGGGCCGGAAGGTGATAATCGGCCCGCAAAATGAATAATGGACCCGAGGGCTTTAGCCCGAGGGCCATTATTCATTCAGGGCCGATTATCACCTTCCGGCCCTCTCCTGCCGTGTATTAACGTCTTTAATACACTTGGACTGGTATAAACGTCTTTTATGACAGTTAAAACTTGGGATGATTATTTATGATTTCATAGATAATTAGTAGAACAGTAAGCTCATGATAATATTGAATATTGGTATCTAACAGTTAATATCCTTTAAAATCCTTGACGTTACTTCATTTGGGGTAGGAATTATGTAAAAATATAAACTTTAAAAAAAAGAACACATAATAACTCATTAACTTTATATAGTTGTTTATTTATTATGATAATTTTTATTCATATCATTTTTATAAGTTACGTTTGTTGTAACATAATTTTACACTTGTATGTATAGAAGTATTATTTCATATTTATTGTGATTGAACTATTAAATGTGCAACCATTAAACAATGACATTGGGTTCATTCTTAGCGAACCCCCTGGGCTTTGAGCAATTGGTAAGTCAATGACATGCTGCACTGGATTGTTTTGCACTTCTTCATAAGAATGAATTGTATGTAAGGTGCTTTCAGTTTCTTGGGAACTTGCAACTAATTCTTCATCCAAATTGTCGTTCATTTCAGTGTCAATTCTTGACGTTAAAGTGCTGGTTTTGTGGATGATTGATGACATGTTTCTTTGTTTCTCTATGCTCATTGTGTGATAGTGATTCAGGCTCTGGATATTTTTATGTCCTGATAATTGTGCGACCTCCGTTGGTGAACACCCAGCTTCCAACAATTTAGTTATAGCTGTTTTTCGACCAGAGTGGTTGGTGTGCCTTGCACAAAACCCAGCCTTTTCACTAATCGTTTTGGCAATGGATCCTAGGGTATTTTTTCCCATCGGTGTTTTCATGTACCAGGGCTCATCATCTGAACAAACGTTATGGTTGATACCTGAAATGAGTGATAAAAATGGATGTCTTATTAGCGTTTCATAAATGTAATAGCAAGCATTTAAATATAAAATAAAATACATCAATATAGTTAAAAAATATATATTTCACTAAAGCAAATTCCTTATTAAAGAAAATATCTTACCTAGATAAAACCTTCCTTGTGGAGATAAGTCTGGTCTCTTATTCTTAAACAACAAGTACAGTTGAACTGGACAGTTTCGGTCACCTGCAAAGAAAATTGGTCTTCTTAAATGAGGATTATTAGACAACAACTTCTTTATAAAAAAATATAATTAATTTAAGATATGTCAATAGCGTTCTTTAAACTATTTATTTTACAAATTTAAAAGCATTTACTTCTTAACTACTTCTTTGTGAAATAATTAAGCATATTTATTTTGATAAAGTGCAAAATTACATATATCATATGGAAAAAATATAGATCTATACCTTTTACTTCAAAAATCTTCGGCTGAAACATTCTGGGATCATCTGTGATTTTATTTCTTGTCTTGGTTGCTCTCTCGGTAAATTGCAGGAATCTAAATGAATAAATATTGATAAATTTAAGTAGGTTTACAGTAGAATCTATACATTTTCCATATTTTAATTTATAAATTTTTAAGAATGCTGGTGTTAATTTTAAGAAATGAATATCCATATATATATAGCTGTACTAAAGTAAAAGCAATTTTATATCAAATTCAAAAATTAGTAAAATGTACCTTGTTCCGTCTGCTGTATTTTTTAATTCAATGTCTCCCCATAACATAGTGGAGTGTTCTTGACGACCTCTTAAGCCAAAGTGCATGGTGTTGTTTAGCCAAATAGTATAAATAAGGGCTTGTGGACTTTCTGAAAAACATGTAAATTTAATTAATATTAAAATCAGTCGATTTACATTCTTGAAGATCTTAAAACACATTTTGATTCATATTTTTTTTATAATATTTTCTCTCACTAAGGATAATAAATTTATCAATAATAATAGTTAGGAACCTCATTAAAACAACTTATATATTTTTTAAAATGATGACAGTATTACCGCTACACAATTCCCAATAGGGAGTCCCTCGTTTAATTTGAACGGGTTGCTTCCCTTTATTGTTACCTAGGGGCGTGTAAACAAACAGCTGTCTAAAGATTATCATATCTTACCTGAACCAAGAATGCCTTTTTCATACATTATTTGTATTTCTGTGTTTGTAAAGGGATCTGCTCTTTTAATTTCGTTCCCAAGGCCTTTTTCTCTAAGATCTGTAGTCTTGGCTTTCAATGTTTCACGACTATGCCGGAATGCTCTGTCTGTGGTCAAATCTATCGAGTAATCCGCCTCAACAAGGTATCTCCGTATGCTAAAAACAATGGCTTTTAGGGTTTACGGTTCTAGTTCTTGTCCAGTCTTGCTATTTTTTTACCGTCAGTAAATATCTAGATATATACATATCTAAATCTGAGGGAGGAATTGTTTTAACCACTCGAGTCTCTTCCTCTGCACTGACCCAATCTATAAATCTTCCGATATCGCTCTTTGTTTTTCTCTTTGTAGATTCATTTTTTTTACTTTCAATAAAATCATAGGTATCTTGTTCAGATACTCTAATTTTAGCATCTAAATCTAAAAGTTTGTTAGACAAAGATTCGAGGACTCTCTCACCGGCCATATTTAATGTTGACTGTGCGCGATGACGTTTTACGTGACCGTTGGTTTCACGTGCACATGTTCAGCGGGCCGATAACTAGTTCTCGGCCCGGGGCCGCAAACTCATAATAGGTCACGTGACACTCATAATCAGTTGAAATCATAGGCAATTTTGTTACTATATATAGTAACAAGTGTATTAATAAGGATTACAAACCCGAAATGCAATGGAAGTTCTAAATTTAGAATGACTTGATATTATTCAGACTTTCTGTGTATAACTTCTCCGTGGTACAGTGGTAACGCGCTCGCTTAGTGAGTGAGAGGTCTCGAGTTCGAATCCCAGTCGAGGTAACTTTTTTTTTTGTTAAATTCATTTTTAAGTGTTTTTGTTAAGGAAGTAGCCATGATATGCAAGGATAAAGTGTGACTGTCGTAAAAAATGAACATAAATGATTTTTTGATGCAACTCTAGTTATGCAGAATTCCGTATGTATCAAACTCTGGTGCCTTGCAAAATGAATTATAATACATAAAAATAAACCTATACAGGAAAATGCATACAGATATACAGTACGATTTAGATTGCAAAGATCAGAAAATACCACAGAACTTGCAGCCCTTTGATTCTTTATAAATATAAATGCTTATAGTAAGCTCCATGATTATTTACATCTGTGTTAAACAACAGTTAAAGTCGTTACAAGCCCTAATTTAGAATAATATGGTTTTCTTCAGCCCGTTCATATATAAATTCACCGTGGCTGAAGGGTTTTCGGGCCCGCTTAGGAAGCGAGAGGTCTGGAGTTCAAATCCCAGTAAAGGTAACTCATTTTTTTTCAAATTGTTAAAGTCAAATAAACATTGGATTGAATATCAGTGTTGCAATTAGTCTTATAGCCAATTTACTACAATTAAAACGCTGGAAAGCATTGGTGGCACTATACATATAATCTCACAACCTGCACCTTTCTTACATTCTGAGACCCAAACAAATTCAGCGCCTTCTGTGCTTTGATTTTGTTATGTTAAATGTTTGTATACTATTTACGCTACTTTTACTATTTTCTGGATTTTGAGCCTGGCGGTTTTATGAAACCACGATGCCTACCGGGTACTTACCAATGCAACTTTTCTGACTAAAGATTCAAACAACAATGATGAAAGTAAACTAATCACGAGGCTCTTTTGCTTCATTATGTATTTGTTAAATAATTATTTTTAAACATTTGTTATAAAAACTATTGTGTCATGGAGATGTATATTAATACTGGTTCAAGCTTATACTTAAAAACGACTAACATAATTATATTATAAGCATTTCATTTATGCTTAAAAATGTGAATGTGTATTGACCTGTTGGTCTCTTCTTTTAACCATCAATATCGTTATTTGAAATTATTTTACATTATTCAAAATATGTATATATGACATGTATGATACATGTATCATGTAAAAGTAGTTGACTTATAAGCCCATTGTACCGAGCGTTCTGTTTATTGTTTCTATTTGTTTGTGTCACATTTCACTTAAATTGGCAATTCAGTAACATACTTTACTTACTTCTATAATACATCATCTAATCAGAAATATGGTCAACGTTTTGCATGTCAATTTTCAAGACGCTACTCGAAAGGTCGCAGTATCGCGTTCTAGTTGCAAAAGGATGTAAATGGGTGTGTATGGTAGCATGTATTTACCAGTCATGGTTACATCGCACTTTGGGATCCAAAATACTTTGGGGTTCGACCCTATTGTGCATTACGTACTTATTTATTTTTAATTTGAAGATGGCGTCCAAAATGGCCACAAATGAAAATATCATGAAATTACTGTTACATCAGAATTGAAATGGCACTAAGTGTGAAGTGATTTATCTAAGTATCGACCGTCATTTTGAACTTCATCTAAAATATTTCAATAGTCAGATGAAGCAGAACACAGTTGGCACCTTCAGAACTTTAGAAATCAAAGTGCGTTGATATGTTATATGCATACTAACGTTATTTGGGGTTCATTTCTCAATTTTGACCCCAAAGTGCGTTTGACATCAAAGTGCCCTGTGAAGTTTACCGTACTCTGGGAATTGGACCCCAAAGGGCGTTTGACCCCAAAGTGCGGTGTTACAGTGCTGTCAAACGTTGTATGTAAACAGCAATAAGACATTATATTAGAAACATATTATTTACATTGTGCATAGTATTTACGTTGTACATATTATTATGCATTGTACATATCATTTACATTGTATAATATTATTTATTCATTGTACATATTATTTACATTGTACATATTATTTACATTGTACATATTATTATACGTTGTACACATCATTATAAATTGTGCATATTAAATTAGATTGTAGATATCATTAAACATTGTACAAATTGTTTACATTGTTGAAATTTTTACACACTGTATATATTATTTACATTGTACATATATTATTTTGAAATGTGCATGTTATTTTATATTGCGCATACTGTCTAATTTCACATTGTACGAGTACATATTTATATATATTGTATATAATTTTTGTTGTTGACATATTATTTTACATTTGCGGTATGTATAACATGCTCAAAAACGAGCCAGCTAAAAGTTTGTATCATACTCAAGAAAGTGTGAATGAGTTTGTTAGCGTTACTGGTTAAATATGTGTATAAATCAAAGTTTATTGTATGATCTGAGTGAGTGAATAAATGGAATGAATTGATACTTTGTCATAGATTTTACGAGAACGGATCCCACTGGGCGCTATCCGTCTCTAAAGATTCAAGCGCCAGTAAAGTACCATACTTCTTTAGTTACCCTTTTACATCAGTTCATGAACTTATAACCTATCACAAGGACTAGTTCCATAAATAAGAATTTGATAAACAATGGAATTATTGTGTTTCTATATAAGAAACTTTTCTTCTTTTGTGAAAATATGAGATGTAATTAAATAGTGGTATTTCAATTTATAAAATCCCAAAATCCTGTGATGAATATCATTTATTGTAATAAGCAGATGAAAGGGTTGTAGTTTATTTCAGGATTTCTTATTTTACTGAGTCCTCGTCATAAACATGTTTTGCCATTTTATGTTTAATTTAAAACTCATTAGATTGTTTCTATGAAAGGAATTTACCTTTTGTCACTTAATATAAAAATAATTATCTGTCAAAAAAGGAAAAAAAAGACGTAAGTAAAATAATATACTATTATATTTTAATCAAAAACAACAAAGGAAAAAAAGGGAAGAAGCCGTATACAAAATCTAGCGAACACATTTTCAGTTTTTTTCTCTATGTTAAGAAAAAGCCCGTCAAAAATGTCTGCAAATATTTAGAAACAAAAATGTTTACAAGTGTTTTGATTGCAGTAATAAATAATGGTATTATAATAATTATAAATTGCATAAATTGAAATATAAAAGATAATTTCATGTACCGCTATCTATAGAGGGATGTCCGCGTCGTTTATTTTATATAACTTGTTCCTCACCGCTGTTGGTACAAAACCTGCCATTCATGTTAGAAAGCTAACCGAGCGCCGGTGGTTCTACTCAGGTGCCCCGTCGTGTCGTGCCTGAAATAATGCGGGAAGGGCCATCTGAGGCCTTTCTCACCAGTAAAGCTGAAAAATCGCCATGTGACCTCTACTGTGTTTGTGGGATGTAAAACTCAACCATCCAACCACCGTTGATGGACGGTCTTAATGTCTATAAACATATTTGAAGACGTCTTTAAAAGTATTTTCTCTGATCAAATAGATAATATTGTTATGCCGGCTCGCCACGGCGAGCCGGTATTACGTTAGGATTTTACTGAGAAACAACCTAAAACTCCGAATCCATCCAAAATTTAATCGAAGCTTAGCTCCCAGCTTTCTACAAAATTTATCTATCAGGGCTAGGATCCAAAATTATTTAGCCAATCAAATTTGATCTTACATAGCGTCAAAAAACCTTCAATTTTCACGCCATTTTTAAAAAACAGCAAGTATTGTTTTGAGCGCAAAGATATAATGATGATTAAAATGTTTGGTTTCATGGATTCTTATCAGTAAATCATATTTACACTGACTTTTGATTTAGCGATTTCACCAGTCCTGTTTACTGTGTAGTAAGTTTTCGTTTGGTTAATTAACATAAACGACATCAGGTTCTTGGGTTTTTTTTCTTTTTCCTTTTTTTCCGGTCATTTCATCCTTTCCGGTATTTAGTGTATGTATTTACTGGCCGGGATCCGGGACGCCCGGGATCCGGGATCGTATAAGATAATAGAGGAAAAAACTAATTAACTATATTTGTGTTGATTATTGTCGTAATGAAAGGCCATTAAACGTTAAGTTTTTTTATTGTATGTAA